ATGATCCACTTTTATCTTTGGGTTTTTTAACTAATTCTGTTCGCCTAGTGAAAAGAAATTCAAAGATATTTAACTATTCTAATTGCTTTAAATTCAGAATTTACTAAAATTCATTTTCAGCATCAGCCGAATCGTTAGCACCACGAATGTTTTTGTGGCGCAAACTGTGGGATTTGGTTTGGGGTGCACTTCTGTACATATTTGGAGCCGGTGATGGTTTGTTAGATGAACACACTTCTTTCTCCTCAAACGCGATGGAAAGCGACGATGATATGGAGCAGGAGGAAACCTTATCTCAGCCTGGTGACAATTCGCTAAGTTCGAACCGTTCGGGCTCTACGCATCGATCTACCACTTCCTCAAAGAAAAATAAAGGTACGTTGATTTTCCCACTTATCCATTTCACAAGAAAATTTTGAAAAATAACTTTAGACGAGACTGAAGAAAAGTTGGAAGGAAGCCGCGGGGATGGCGGGGGACTGGGATCAACGTGATAGTTTGGTGTTTTCTTAGCGAAATGATGCTCATTTTCTTTATTCGACCATTTTCCAGCCAAATAATTCATGTCTAAATTCGATACCTTTACCTGCTGGTGCTACGGATGGTTTTAATCTGTTCTGTGGCTTAAATTTTCTTCCTGTATTTTCCGAATTGATCCCTCGAGGGTCGAGTGGCATGCCGTTTTCGGCAGTAGTTGCGGTTTTAGAAAGAAATTCGACAAAGTTCAGTACTTTGTTCTCTCCCTTTTTCCGTTGTCTACTCTTTATGTTCAGCTGAAACGAACTGCAGGTTCAAAAAACGCGAGTCGAATTTGTCTTGTACTCTTCCCAGATGGGTTCTGGGGCCTGCGTTTAAAATGTTGTAGGCGAGTGCCATCCCAGTGGTCGCTTTGGCTGGGCTGGTTTTAGATTTAGCAATTGTTTTTTTTTTATGTACTGGTTCTGATTTCCGCAACAGTATACCTAAAGGCCTTCAGTTACCTTCTTTCCTCAGTTTTTCGTTCCTTAACCTTATCAGAGCAGGCTAACCAGTCCTGCCACTTAATCACTTTATTACTAGTTCACTACGGTGTAGGTGTGTGAAACTGTACATGTGTTTTAGTGCTGGCTCCGAGCTCAGCCGCTACGTGTTCTCGAGCAAAAGGTGGACGTTCACGTGGACGTAACGTTCAAAATCACGCCAATTACGTGTTGTCGCCATTGACAAACGGAGCAACAGCGCTGTCGTCATCTACATTGGGGGCCACGTGTGCACTAAACAATAATTTATTGAACCTAGCAACGGGTGGAGTACAGCAGGATAGACAGATATACAGTTCTGTTCCGGGTGTAGCTTATCCGAGCCTAACGAACAGTTCCGGTGACGCCGCAGAGAAGGATTCTGCTTCTGGTGTTTGTGCTACTCAGGAAAAGCCCAAGGATGATACTAAGTTAGTCTTTTATTGTTTTATCGGATAAATTACCGTCACATTTACTTCACGTATAATTTGTTTATAGTGTGCCGAATTTTTTCACTTTGCTTGCCTATTCTGTTTTTGCATCTTTTTCTTGCCTATTCTATTTTTGCATCTTTTTGATTTTCGAGATTTGCGTGCCAATAATATGAACAATTATCGTTTTTGTGCGTTTTTTGCAGCTATGCAATGCAGAAAGCGCATATTGACGAGGGGTTGTCTGTGTGTAGGTGTCGGTGTGTGTGTCTGTCTGTGTGTTCGTCTGTACCGATTTCTCATCTCAAGACCTACAAAAGCTGTGGGCCCGCCAAAATTGGGAACTTAATCTACACGCGTGTGCGGGTCCCAATCCCTAAAATGGGCGCTCTTACCCACGTGGTGCCCACGTACGGGCCCGCCAAAGTTTTTTACGGGCAAGCTGCTAACTCGGAAAACAGAGAGACTGGAAAGCTGAAATTTTAAGGGGACGTTCCCCACCCGCGTAATTGTTAATGAACTCAAACCCAGCCCCCGGGTATGCATGGTACCCACATACTGGCCCGTGAAAATTTTTTTCGGGTAAGTTGCTAGCTCGGGGACCTGAGAAGCTAGAAGACTGGAATTTTAAGAGGAATTTCCTCGTTTGCGTAGGTGTTAATGAGCTCAAGCCCAGACACCGGTTACGCGTGGTACCCACGTAAGAACCCGTGAAAATTTTTCTCGGGTAAGTTGCTAACTTGGGGACCTGAGAAGCTAGAGGATTGGAATTTCAAGGGGTGTTCCCCATCCAAGTATGTGTTAGCGAGCTCAAACCCTGACAGCGTCTGTGCGTGGTACCCACATACAGGCCCGTGAAAATTTTTTTCCGATAAGTTGCTAGCTCGGGAATCTGGGAAGTTAGAAAACTGGAATTTTAAGGGGGTATTTCCTGACAGTTCTGGCGGCCAGTCATAATTTGTCTAGCTAGAAGCATTTACCGGAAAAACCGTGCCGGTAGTGGCAAAACTGCGGGGAACTATGCAAAAAGCGCATCTTCGCACGGGCAGCTTGTGCGTTAGCCAATTCTTTTTTTTTTCGACAGATTCCTAAACCTAGATAGCGGTGCATCAAGTGATCATGCGTTTTGCTTGCATATTGTGGGGAGATCGCCTGCGCTACTGGGATATGACTGAAGTTGATGCACCTGTACGCAAAGCCTATGCCTAGGCAGAAATTCATCTTGTACTTGGTGGTCCAAGCATTAAAAGCGAACATTTTCAGAAAAAATACTTCTTCCTGTCGAATCTGGTTACCGAGTTAATTGAGTGCCAATAGTATCCCAAACTGAATTTGTGCGCGCGCGAGACCTAAGCGTGCTTTAAAGCTCAAGTTGGAATATTGCTGTGACATATGGACATAGAACATCCACATAAAGTTTTAGGTCCCTAGCATAACTAGTTAATGAAATCACTTTCCTTCACAGATATCATTGGCGTATCCGGATAGTCACAAGGCAAACACCAAAGCTTGTTTTACGCCTGTATTCCTATGTGTGGAAAACAAATGTATTTGTAAAATCAGAGCACTGAAATCAGTTTTGCTTCTGAGTTGATATTATGCCAGTGTTTCGAAATCCCAACTTTGATATGTCGACACATATGACTTAGGTGTGCATTAAAGCTGAGTTTGAATTCTTCAGCTTAGACAAGGATAAAGATAATTTCTGTGAAATTTCGACTTCTAGTTCCTGAAATCGCTTTCCGCTAAAGTATTTTATACATTTTCTTTTAAACGTCTACTCATAAGGAAGGATCTTACGTGGAATAGTAACATGCTTCAAAAGTGTCCCATCTTACTAGCTTCTTTGATTGCTAAGTTGAAAACGGGTAACAAAATGTGAACACATGCACAGCAGTTTCTTGCCAATATGCATTCTCGCATTTGCATAAATATGCAAAAACGCTTAAAAAAGTTCGCTTCTTAGTTATACAGCACTTTATTTCTCGAAATCATTTTTATCTCCATCGTTGTCACTTCTTGCAAGCTTACTTTTCTTGTCTGGAAAGATTTTGAATTTCTAGATCTGAAAATATTTTCGGTTTCGGTTTTTTCATTTATTTTTCTTTGATTTTTTAAATCTATTTTTAAGATCTTTGAGCGTTATGGTTTTGAATTATTTTAGTCCAAAGGAACTAGAAACGTTGCGTAATGATCTGCGGGCAGCACGATGTCAGGAAGTTGAGCTACGGTATCTGATACAGCAGTATGAGAACGGGGAGAAGCAAATGAAGGGAGAATTGGCGCAGATGAAGCTGAAACAAGAGCAGAGTGACAGCAAGTCAGCATTTCTTTATTTCGTTATTTCTCCAGTTTCGTTTCTGGGGTTTTAGAATTTTAGACTCGAAGTTGGGAAAAATCGTGTGCGTGTGTTAGTTTTTTCTGTTTTAGGCTTGCAAATGTCCTGAAAGCACGCGATCAAGACAGATCGGCAATGCAGCTGCTGGAGAAGAGACTGATTGAGGCGCAGACCAAGAGGAATGAGCTTGAAAAAGAGCTTAATGCGGAAAAGCGTAGCAAAATCAAAGAAGAACATGCCGCAGCACGAGCTTTAGCAGCTGCCCAGTCCAACAAGTACGCTTCATTCTTGTATGTCATTGTGGAGGAAGTTTGTTGCATGCATCCTCGAGATGAGGTACGAGCGCACGACTATTCGGAAGTTTTTAGGACTCCGCTCGGCTTGGCCGAGCAATATGCACTGGTTTTTGTGCAGGAAGCGCTCATTTGGGTGTTACTAAAACTCTGCACGGTTCGGTGATGAGCTGCGATGAATGGCGGGGAGGGGCGTGGATGTGAGGAGGAGAGAAGAAGCGCTGTGGTGGTTTAGGTCTTGAAGTTGCCACAGAGGATGCGGAAAAGGCGGAAGGGTGGCGGGGGAGGGAAAGAATTATTGACCGGGAAGGGGCTAAGAGACCTTGCTTGGAGGTAAAGGAGCGGAAATTATGTGGGAGAGGACGGGAAGAAAGTTATATGAGTTCGTTTTGACACCTTGTTGATTTTCGCTGCTTACGTCTAAAGCCACAAAGGTGCACAAATTGTACGGCTGAACCGAGCCGAGCTTTAATGAGTGTCTTCGTTTGTGGACAGGATCGAAGAGACAACCATAAACATATGCAAAGCTCAGTTTTTTGTTTTACTGGTATTTTGAAAGGAGAAAATAAGGGTGTAATTGTTGTACAAAACGTACTTTCCTTGTCAGTCCAAAATCTCACTAAAATCAAAAAATCTGAAACGTTGGAACATTTGCGTGAAATGGCATCAGTGCTTGAAGAAATCGAAAGCAAGAAAAAAAAAATAATTGGCCAACGCACGGGCTGCCCGTGCGAAGTTGCGTTTTTCGCATAGTTCCCCGCAGTTTTTGTCGCCACCGGCACCGTTTTTTCGGCAAATGCTTCTAGCTAAACGAATTAAGATTGGCCGCCAGAACTGTTAGGAAACACCGTCTTAAAATTTCAGCTTTCTAGCTTTTCAGGCTCCTGAGTTAGCAACTTACCCGAAAAAAATTTTACGGGCCCTTATGTGATTACCACGCATAGTGAGACTCAAGTGAACTCAGTGAGACTTAAGTGAACGGGGAATATCCTCTTAAAATTACAGTCCTTTAGCTTTTCAAATTCCCGAGTTATCAACTTAGCCAAAAAAAAAAACTTTGGCGGGCCCGTGCGTGGTATCACGCATAACCGAGGGCTGGGTTTAAGCTCATTAATACCCACTTGGGCGGAAAACATCCCCTTAGGGTTTCAGCTTTCTTGCTTCTCAGATCCCCGGGTTATGGGCTTACCTGTAAAAAACTTTGGCGGGCTCTTGCTTGGGTGCCACGCGGTTAATGGGGGCTCTTGCTTGGGTGCCATACGGGTAATGGCGCCTATTTTGGCAATTAGGGCCCGAACGTGCATGTAGATTAAGTTCCCGAAATTTCAGCCCTGCAGCTTTTGTAGGTCTTGAGATGAAAGTGCGTGACA